ACCACTTCTTGACTTATGACAGCATCAAGCCACTCACACCTCGAAAACCCTATTTCCATACATCACACTCTGAGGTTCTATGTGGACCTGAATTTGAGGGGACGGGGACATTGCATCCTGTAAGCCAAGATTTGGGCGGATGGGTAGCTCCGTTTCCCCTATAGTTTTAGAAACTGAGATAAAAGAGAAGTGACTTGTCCAGGCTGAGAGGAAGCTGGCCAGAGTTTAGTGAAGAACCCATTTGTCTCTTCAGCGGGTATTTGCCAAACTCCTGCCGCATGCCGGGAGTTCTCCTGGCAACCAGTGCTATTTGCTGTGGGGGGCCTGGGACCCACAGGCTCAAGCCAGCTCTGCCCTTTAGAGCTGTGCAGCCTGGACAAGTCACCCTCTGCCTCAGCCCCCACCTTCTCATCTGCACAGTGGGTTGCCCTTGCTTGAGGGGACTCAAAGACAAGGCAGGGCACAGAGCAGACATGAAGCTGCTGGCAGAAGCGGGAGCGTAGGAAGTGTCCGATCTGGTCCACAGCCCAGCTGTTTAGAGGGGAAGGGGCACACATCTTTTGACCCCATCTGTGGCTTCACAGGGGTCTTCTTTTTTGTGAAGGAGACTGTCACCCTGGGCCATGGAGACAGCGCATCCTTGTGCCCCAGTAGTGAGGCAGCGCATTGGGAATACCCACGTGTGCATGCATCTGTCTGCATAGGTGTGTGCCTTAGGGTTAGGTAATCCTAATGAGTCCACACAGCGCACAACTGCTGTTCAGGAAATTGACCAAAGATGGCCTTGGCAATGTCATCGTGTCACCCCAGAAACCATAGAAACAGAAGCTGGGCTTAAAGTTAGCAGTACCTCCAACATGAGGTTTTCTGCCCCAGCAGAGAGCTGACCTTTTGGAAGCTGGAAAGGACCTTTGTGGTAGAGATTGTTAGAGGTGACCCGTGTCACATAGTCACCAAGCCCTTTCATGCCCCCACGTTTGATCTTTCTCTTAGTGAATCTAAGAGGAAGGTGTTTGCTTTGTTTCCTACAGCTGTTCTGCAAGCTAAGTCAGAGGCCACACGATTCCCCCAGCTAAAGTGTCCAGGTCGGTGGTTGTTAGCATATTCACAGAGCTGAGTCTCCCTAAAAAGGAGCCACTCTATCCGATCTTCACTGCCGAGGCTCGCCAGTCACCACTTGCTTTCAGTCCCTGGATTTGTCCGCTCTGCACATCCCATATCAGTGGAATCACAGGACATGTGCCCTTTTGAGTCTGATTTGTGTAACACACAAATCAGTCTGTTAAGTGTAACACGTACCTTGTAGCAAGTATCAGTACTTGATTGCTTTTTACAACTGAAGCATTTTCTGTGGTTTGACTACACATTTGTTTATCCATTCATCTATTTGTGGACATTTGTATTGTTTTACCTTTTGGCTACTGTGAGGAAATATTCATCTGTAAGTGTTGGTATAAATATGCTTTCATTTTAGGAAGCGTATATCTAGGGGTGGAATTGGTGGGTCAGATAGTTTGATTGATTGATTGATCAACTGATTGATTATTCTGAGGGTTGAACCCAGGAAGTGTGAGCCACATCCTCAGCCCTTTTCATTTTGGAAGGCAGGGTCTTCTTAATGAGGCTGGCCTCAAATTTGTCACACTCCTGTCTTAGCCTCCAAGTAGCTGAGATTACAGTTTTGTGCCACCATGCCTGACTGACTGTTTAACTGTTTGAGGAACCAAATGTCCCAGAGCACTCTGCTACTACACAGTCCCGCCAGCAATTGTGAAGGTTCTAGTCTCTCTGTCAGCACTTGTCGTCTTTTTAGTCATCTTAGTGCTTATGGAGTCCTATGCTCCTGGTGGGCTGGGTTTGCGTTTCCCAAATGACACTGATGCTGAGTGTCTTTTTAACGCTTCTTGGCCATTTGCTGTTGAGTTGTAGGAGATCTCTATGTATTTTGGGCACAAGTTCCTAACACCAGATGTATGATTGATGAAAATCTTCTCCTGTTTTGTAGGTTGTCTTTTTCTTTTTAAATACCCTTTGAAACAGAAAAGTTGTTAATTTTGATGAAGTTGTTGTTTTTGTTTGTTTGTTTGTTTGTTTTGTCTTTTTGAGGCAGGGTCTTGCTATGCAGTTCAGGCTGGCCTCGAGCTCACTTTGTAGCCCAGGCTGGTCTCGAACTCACAACAATCCTCCTGCCTCAGCCTCCCAAGTGCTGGGATTACAGGCATGCACTACCACGCTCAGCTTGATGAAGTTTATTTTAATCTTTTTTTCATTGCTTGTGCTTTTGATGTCATGGTTCCAAAACCATTGTCTAATCCAGGGTCATAAAAATTTATTCCTTTTTTTTTTCCCTAAAAGTTTTATAGTTTGAGCACTTACAGTTAGGAGAACAAAACTTCAGTGAGCTGCCAGAGGCAGCCAGTGAGAAAGCCATGTCCTTTGGGGAGTTTGCAGGCCTCTGTGCTGCCAGGGGTCCTGCCAGAGTCCCTGCCACTTCCCTGGCTGCCTTGGCACTCTGTATGGCCCTCAGATTCCCCAGGTACACCATGAAGAGATCGCCTGTGATGTGTGTTACAAGCGCCTCTGAGGTCCCTTTCTCTAGAGACAGCCCTAAGCACGCTCTTTTTTTTCTCTGCTCAGAAGAGCCCGGATCCATGGGCCCTTGGCTGCTGCACACTCACACGTGTGTGCCATATGCACATGCACACATGTATGACGCATGGCTACCTGGAGTGGCAGCTTCTGTACCCAAGCTCACAAGGCCGCAGCCCTCAGTCTGGAGATTCATGACAAGTGCAGGATACGAATTCCCGTCCTCCCACATGTGCTTCCCTCTGGGGAGGGCAACCTACACCTGCCCCAGCCCAGCCATGCTGTGAGCTGCCTGCCTCCCTCACCCATGGAGCAGACTGAATGTTAGGCTGGTGGTCAGGAAAGGCCCCAGGCTCGTCTGGGAGACTGAATCGTACCTAGCGGCCTGGGCAGCAGGAACACATATCAGAGCCAGGTGCCCGCTCCCGAGGGGAGCGGCCCAGTGCTCACGCAAGGGTCTGAGATTCAGGGGTCTGTGCTTCTGCTCTGCCTCCACACCACCTCAGCTGCTTGTGGCCTGGGAGACTGGGCTATCACCTCCAGTGAGCTGCCTCCCGCGCTCTGTGCCTTAGCGGCCTCACAGTGGAGTGGAAAGAGCAGGGCGGTTCGAGGGTGCGCTATAGACTGTGCCAGAGCCAGGAAGGCCCCCTCTAAGGCCACCCCACTGGGGCTGCCTCTCCCAGGAAGCCCCTTTCCCTGCCTGCCTTGGCTCCCAATAAAGTCCTCCAGCCATGGCTGCTGCCTCTGTGTCCCAGCACCTGTGCAGCCAGGGGCCGATCCAAGTCAGGAAAGCCAGGCCAGGCAGAGGAGCAGGCAGCCTGGCCCCTGCCCTGTCCCAGCAGCCACGAGGCATCGGGAACACAGGGCTGTCCAGGCCGGCTCCTCACTCCTTCTGTCAAGGGAGCAAACCTCAGAGACTTCTGGGCTCAGAGCGGTGGGGACGCCCAGCCCACCCGAGGCCAGGACAGAGCCGGAGCCTGGTGATTCCCAAGGGAGAGAAGGACCATCATGCATCCTCAGAGGCCCTACCAGCTGGGGCAGGCCAGCTGCTAGGAGGCGAGGTGGAGCTTCCCATTGGAGTGTGGCATGGGGCGGGGTCTGCAGTGGCCTGGCCTTCCGCCCAGGAGCCTGGAGACCTCTGCCCAGTTTCATCCTCTCTCTCCCACTGCATTCCAGTGTTCACATACAGAGAAAGCATGTGCTTCCTCACACTGCCTCGGTGGGCTCCCGAGGCTCAGCACCGGCTCTGGAGACAGGCGCTTGTGCGCCCTGGCAAACCCACACTCGGCTCCTGGGCCCACGGAGTCCTGGAAAGAGAGCTTCCTGGCCCACGTGCCACCTAACCCATGTGGCAGGTGCACAGATTGCACGGCCACCACCACCCTCTACTGCTGGAATCAGGTGCGGGCCTGGGGACGGTCGCAGGATTGCCTGCGGTCAGCATGTGCAGGCACCCCCAAAATGGGTGCGTCTCACCGTGGTTTGATTTGCATTTTCCTCAAGACTAGTGAGGCAGTGATGTTGAACTTCTGTCTTTCTTTTTCTTTTCCTTTTGTAGTACTGGGGATTGAACCCAGGGCCTTCCCATTGAGTTACATCCCCAGCCCTTTATTTGTTTTTATTTTTATATTTTTTGAAACAGGGTCTTTTTATGCAGTTCAGGCTGGCCTTGAACTCACTAAATAGCCCGGACTGGCCTCAAACTCACAGAGATCCTCCTGCCTTAGACTTCCAAGTGCTGGGATACAGGCATGTGCCACACTGGGCTCTCAGCCCTTTATTTTTTAAATCATAATAATGGTAATGATGATGTAACAACAGATATATGGCTTATATTTAGACTCTCAGTAGCTATTAGTGCACGAGTTTTTTATTTCCTTGGCTAAATTTATTTCTAAGTATTTATTCTTTCAGATCTTGTTGTAAGTGCAGCTGACTTTAAATTTCATTTTTGTGTGTTGTCTTTGTATCCTGCAACTCTGCTGAGTTTCTGTATTAGGTCTCACATGTTTAGGGGAGATTATGTAGGATTTTCTGTATAAACATTTTGCCATCAGCAAACTGAAATTGTTTTACTCCTCCCTTTCCAATGTGGACACCTCTTCCTTTTCTGCCTAATTGCTGTGGCGAGACTGTCTAGTCTGGTCCTCTACCGCATCCTTGCCCCGTTCCTGACCTTGGGAACACTTCAGTCCCGGGGTAGACGGGAGTCAGGGTAGATGGTGTGGGGGCAGTGCTGGGGTTCAGAAGGGAGTCGGGGCACGTGGAGACTGGATCTAGATTTGGGGGGGCTATGAGAGGGCACAGGAGCCTGAATGCCCTCTTCCCATCCCACACCCAGACTCTGTCTCCTGAGCCCCTCTTGCACAATGCTCTGCCCACACACATCTCAGGTGCTTTTGTCCCCACAGAAGAAGAGCCGTAACGAGACCTACGGTGAGGGCAGTGGCGTGGAGATCCTGGAAAACCGGCCCTACACGGATGGTCCTGGTGGCTCCGGGCAGTACACACACAAAGTGTACCACGTGGGCATGCACATCCCTGGCTGGTTCCGCTCCATCCTGCCCAAGGCAGCGCTGCGGGTGGTGGAGGAGTCCTGGAACGCCTACCCCTACACCCGAACCAGGTGCGTCCCCCACTGCATGCCGTCTGTGGCAGGAACCTGGCAGCATGGATCCAGGGGCTAAACCACTGCGCCACCACCCCCGATACCAGGCTCTGTCCCAGATGGGTGCCCTGAAGGTCCAGGTGGTAAAACACAGGAGAGAGGAGGATGTCTCCCAGCCTTCCTGCATGCATCATGCCAGGACTGTTGGAGACCCCTCGTCTGGGTAGATTTGGGGGCTCCAGACTCAATTAGGCTCCTCTGAGCAGCCCGGACAGTCAGCCTGCTGAGAAGAAAAGGAAACTAGGGTGCACCAGATGACCTGGAGGCCCCCTGTTCCTCTGAGCCCTTTAGCTGCTATGACCACATTTTATTGCGTCCCACACTGAGCAGGGCTCTCCCCGGAGTTCCCTGCCCCCAGCAAGGGATCTTCACTGTGTGCCCCGCAAGACTGCTGAGTTGAGTGGACAGCAGCTTACTGAGCAGGCAGAGTCCCCCACGCTGAGGGCAGCCGGAGCTTGCCGGAAGGCCACAGAGAGCTCACTCCGGCCCAGAGAGGGGCTGCCCCCTGTTGGTAGAGCCGGCTCCATGGCGGCGGGTGTCCTGTCCCAGGAGTGTGGATTCCACAGTTCCCTGCAGTGTGGGTGCGTACCCAGTGCACTGCCAGATGTGGGGCTTCTTGAAGCCACCACAGGGGCTCGGAGTCAGCTCCCCTCCTTATCTCCTGCTCCTAAAACCACTTTCCCGCCCTGGCCTTGCTGTTCTCGGGACGGGGTGATGGTCCGAGAGGTGGGTGGGCCCGTGGGTCTCAGCCAGCCCCCCACATCCTCTCCCCACTTCACTCCCACCCCGGGTGTCCACCAGCCAGGCTGCAGTCCTGATGGATGCTTCTCTCTCCTGCAGGTTCACCTGCCCTTTTGTGGAGAAGTTCTCCATTGACATTGAGACCTTTTATAAAACCGATGCTGGGGACAGTCCTGATGTGTTCAGCCTGTCTCCCGTGGAAAAGAGCCAGCTGGCAACAGGTGAGCAGGAGGCGTCCCCTGCCTGGTCCCATCTGATGTGTGTGCCCCAAGTCGAGGGGCCTTTCCCACACAGAGCCCCCCAGGTGCGCACGTGTGTTGGATCATGTACTCTCAGGCAGCGTCTCTAGCTGACAGCCACACCAAGTGCCGTGGGGGGCTGTGGCTGTGGCACAGGATAGGTCTGCGTCCCTGATGGTGGTGACCTGTACCTCCCACCCTTCCAGCTCACGTTCCTGTGCAAAAAGCAGGCCCAACCTGTTAAACCCTTTTTTTTTTTTTTTTTTGGTACTGGGAATTAATGAAACCCAGGAGCACCTCAGAGACATCTCCAGCCCTCTTGATTGATTGATTTTATTTTTTGAGACAAGGTCTTCCTAAACTGCTGAGGCTGGCCTCAAACTTGCAATCCTCCTGCCTCAGCCTCCCGAGTGTTGGGATTATAGGCATGTACCACCACCAGTTTGTCAGCTCTTTGGGAAGAAAACCTAGCCCGGTGTGGTGGTGCACGCCTGTAATCCCAGCATTCAGGAGGCTGAAGCCGGAGGATCGTTGCAAGTTCAGTACCAGCCTGGGCTACAAAGTGAACTCAGAGCCAACCTGAACTGTCTCAAAAAGACCAAAAAAAAAGAAGAAGAAGAAAACCTAAAAATCAGGATTTTCATGTGAAATCTTCCAATTCCTAAATATTGGCAACTAATTAAAAATCTGGGTTCCTAAACTTACATCAGTCAAACAGAGTACCTCTGCTGCACACACCTTTCCCCTTTCCTCTGCCGGTTGGCAAGCAGACCAGCCTGCTGAGTCCCTCCCCGCATGATCCCTGTGCACAGGCCCCCAGCACTTAGTCTGATAGGCAACATCCAGCATGGCCAGCCACATCCCTGTCACCTGCATGCACCGCGGCCACCACCCTCCCCGTGTTCCCCCCGTGCTTCCCTGGGGGCCCCCTTCGTACAGCCCCAGTACAGCTAGGACATCCTTGGTTTCACAGTTCCACCCCTCCGGCTGCAATGCCACCTTTCCTTGGACACTTTCTCCAGCCTTCTCCAACGTGTCCCTACCCACCTTCCAAAGGAAACCTGCCTCCCAGCCCCTCCCCTCCCTCACCAGCTTGCCAAATGCTGGGCTGCACCCAGACTGGGGGTGACTTGGAAAGGTGTGGGCCCCTGGCCAGGGAGCAGCCCGAGCGTCGTCCTCACTCCCCAACACCATCCTCTCCACACGGTGCTGCCCCGAGCCCTGCGAGGACTTTGTGGGGTACAGAGCCTGCGGGGGGAGGTGAGGAGGAGGTTGGCAGACACGGCCACTCACAGGGCGCCCCTGCAGACATCATCGACATCGTCAAGGATCCTGTGCCCCTCAACGAGTATAAGACGGAAGAGGACCCCAAGCTGTTTCAGTCCGTCAAGACCCACCGGGGGCCCCTGTCTGACAACTGGATTGAGGAGTACAAGAGGCGGCTCCTGCCTGTCATGTGCGCCTACAAGCTGTGCAAGGTGGAGTTCCGCTACTGGGGCATGCAGTCCAAGATCGAGAGGTTCATCCACGACACTGGTGAGCGCGCTGTGCCCCGCACCGGCGGGCGTCGCGGGCCTGCCTGCTTCTGCCTCAGGGCTTCTGCTTGTGCTTCCGTGCTTCCCTTTCACTTCTGAGAGGTGACCCAAAGCTGGTCTCTCTCTCTCTCTCTCTCTCTCTCTCTCTCTCTCTCTCTCACACACACACACACACACACACACACACACACACACACGTTCATCTTGGCCCCCATGTATACTATGCGCACCTCACCATTCCTCGAAGATGAGATGTCCTTGACCTCATTTGTGTGTGACAGTGCGGAGTTCATGCCCCACTCTGGCTGGCAGCCCTTTCTTTGTTCTCCCCAAGGAGGCGGAGGCTCCACAGCCCACGCACAGCTCTGCCTCCACCACTAGGGGGTAGTTCTGGGTGGCGAAGTGGCTCAGGCACTGTAGTGTCTCTTGTCGCCAAAGAGGTAGCTGGAACAGATGCCTGGGGCTCCACCTCTGGCGTGGAGCCCTGACCCTGGGCAGAGGTCAGACCCAGCTGGTCCCAGCCCTGAGCTCATGGCCCAAGAGAGGTTCCCCAAACATCACTGTGCGACCGTAAGAGCAAATGTGAGCAGAGGCACACTACTGACCACAGGCTTCTCGCGTGTCGTGTTGCCTCAGGATGACCCAGCAGGGTGGGCAGAGACAGGTTGCTGACAGAGGAAACAGACCCAGCCCTTGGTACAGACTGAAACAAACATTCTGCACACAAGTGGTGTCAGTCTGTCCACCCCCAAGGGAAGGGTCCTCATGTGCAGCCAGGCCTGGGTGTGAGGAGGCAGGTGTGGCAGGGCCTTGATGGTGTGCGACAGTGTCACCAGCTCCACCTGCAGGGCAGGATCTCAGCCACATCATCCACTGCTCCCTTGCTCATGGGGCTACTTCCGTGCCCATGAGCCAGGGATGCGGAGGTGGCAGGAGGAGGAGGAGGACGTCCCATCCCCGAGAGGGGACACAGTCCCTCTGTCTAACCCTGCAAGCTTAGATTGGCCTACACAGCCTCCCCATTTCCTAGGGCTCACACGCTGGGACCCATGTTCTCACTGCTGAGGTCCGAGTCAGGGAGGACGGCATCCTGGAGGCGGCCCAATTGTCAGGCAGGCCTGCTGCCAGCGTGGGCTTCGCCCTCCTGGTTGTTGTCCCCGCTTTCTAAGATAGGAGCAGACATCCCACAGGGGACAGGAGGACAAGAGAATATGTGAGTATCCTGGCCAGAGCCCTTCCTTCCCACACCTCCAGGAATGTGAAGGTGGTGGCATCTCTGGGGTCAGCCCAGAAGGGCCCCTACAAAGCCTCCAGGAGCAGTGATGCCTGGCTCAGATCCCTCCCGACTGTAAAGGTCCCCAGCCACTGAGACAGCTTTGCCCTCAGAAAGGAGAATGGTCCACCTGTGGACCTGCCACATAGCGGCTCTGTGTCTCCTCCACGCTGAGCCTCGCTTTCCTCGGCTGAGAAATGGATACAGTAACAGCAGACTTGCTGGGCTGGTATAGGAGGAGATCACAGGATACAGTACCGAGGTGGGACATGGCACGAGGTCACATCCCACTGCTGGGAACATTGTTCCCATGAACCCTTGTGAGCTAGGCCCAGCTTTGGCCTTGCAGAGGCAACTGCTAGGGGCTGGTATGGGTCTTAACTGTCCCCATGGTTGCCTGGTTCCAGACATAGTACCACGTCCCAGCCCTTCCTTCCAGCACCCCCAAGAAGAAGCCTTTCCCTGTACACTTCAGAGCAGCCCCGTGAGGCCAGCTTCCAGGCCCAGAAAGAGAAAGTGAGGCCACCCCGGGGCTTGGGCAGGAACACTGACAGGAAAAGAAGTCAATAAAATGTGGTGTTCCAAACATAAATCCATGCAGCAGCAGACCGATGTGCTAGAGTCCACACGAGTATAGGTGAAGTTAAAACTCCCCAAGAGAAGCAAGCAGCAGAAAAATACACAGCATGACGCATGTATGTAAACTTCTACATCAGCCCAAACTCTCCAATACATAGTGTGGAAAATACAGTGTCTTAGTTACTTTTCTCATTGCTGAGACAAAATACCCATCACCCAAAGTTAAGGTAGGAAAGGTTTATTTAGCTCAGGGTTTGTAGAGGTTTCAGTCCCTAATCAGCTGGCTCCAGGGCAGGGTGGAATCACAGAGGAGAAACGGTCTGTGGCGGGCAGAAGGTAGCAAAGCAACAAGGATCAAACACAGCTCTTTCTATCCCTTATATGTTACCCAAGGTATTCAGGGCAGGTAGCACTCACACCCTTAATCCTAGTGCCCTCAATCCTGGCATCGCACCATGAATCAATCCAAGCGTCACATACTGTAGATCCAGCACCTCTGGAAAAAGCCCCACCTGTGACTGCATGAGGCTTTGAGAGGATATCTAGACCTAAGCCATAACACACCTCTGTATGCTATAGCCAGGAACAAAGCAAGTGGCAAACACAGAATCCAGGACAGACTCTCAGAGGTGGCAGGGAGGGTGTCCAGAGGGTCACCTGACACTGGGACGTTCTGCTCCTTCACCGGACAGTGTGGACATGAGTGTTTCACTTCTTTCAATGTTTTCTTAAGCAGCTTTCATGAGGCCTAGTTTTACATACCACACAGTTTGCCTATGCAAGACAGCAGTCAGGTCAGGCTAGGACACGTATTCATAGTCCTGCGGAGCTTTGGAGGGTCACCGGCCCAGGGGACTTTGTTCTCTTTCTCCATCATCCCGTCTCCCACCCTGCCAAGGCCACCCCAAGCTGCTTTCTGTCTCAGTGGTTTCTCTGTGATTCTTTATACCTCAACAAAATTCTCCTTTATCTTATTCTGGATGTGTAATGTAGTCTATTCTTTTTTGCTTGTTTGTTGGGTTTCATTTTATTGGTAGTGGGGATTGAACCCAAGGCTTTTGCGCCGACTTACATCTTGAGCCATTTTCTTACTTTTTTTTTTTTTTGAGATGGCATCTTGCTAAATTGGTAAGTTCAAGAAGACCAAGTCATTTTGAACTTGAATTTGACCTTGCATGGGTTTGAACTGGAAAAGAAGACCAGGCCCCAAGATTCTTGGGAAGTATTATCCACTTCCTGCCACGGAAGGAGGCCCTCCAGATTAACTGTGGCTTCTGAGCACACATTACCTAGGAGGTCCACCCCTGTGATTGGAGAATGAGTCTAGGAGTCAGTCCCCAGTTTTACCACAGGGAAACTGAGGCACAGCCACAGTGTGGCTGGAACCTGAGTCTGAACCGCCCTCTTGTCTGCAGGCCTGCGGCGGGTGATGGTGCGGGCCCACCGGCAGGCATGGTGCTGGCAGGATGAGTGGTACGGGCTGAGCATGGAGAACATCCGGGAGCTTGAGAGGGAGGCGCAGCTCATGCTGTCCCGCAAGATGGCCCAATTCAGTGAGGATGAGGCGGGCACAGAACTCACCAAGGACCCAGCCAACCAGGATCAGGCACCTGGGCCACCCCCTGAGCCCAGCAGCAGCAACGGGGAGCCCTTGGTGGGGCGGGGGCTGAAGAAGCAGTGGTCCACGTCCTCCAAGTCCTCTCGGTCGTCCAAGCGGGGAGGTGAGCTCCAGCGCCAGGTGCCCACCTTTCGGTCAGGGCCCCCTCCCGCCTTCCCCCGAGGCAGCCTGTATGTTGCCGGGCCCTGCGCCTCCGCAGATGCCACCTCCTTGTGGGTGATGCAGAACCGAGCATGTCAGGCACAGACCCCTCCTTTCTCCAGCTGTGCCAGGCTAGGCCCAGACCCCTGCCCAGCAGGCCCCCCAGACTCACCGACAGGGCCCTGGGGGAGAGAGACTGTGGCCCTCAGGGGCCCAAAGCAGCCAGCCAGGCATCAGGTCCTGAACCAGGGGTGCAGCGGGTCTCCAATGCGCAGCCGCAGAAGGTGCTGCCTGGGCACTTGTCTTCCCATCTCCCCCTCACCCTGTAGCGGGCTCTGCCAGCTGAGTTTAAGGGATTCACTTGTGCTCAGGCCCCGGCCCCTCTGAACCAACATCCCGGCTTGTGCCCAGTGCCCTCCCACCCCCGCCTTCTCCCTGGCAGGACTGCCCGGGGTCTTGTAGGCAGCACGAGGAGTGCTTTAGAAAGTCAGGATCTTCTGTGCACATGAGCTGGCACACATCCCGCACCCCATTTCTCTACTCAGTCTCCAGCCAACCTTCCCAGCTCCCAGGGCAGCCTGAGGGTGTCCATCTCACCTCCCCACCCCCAGCTCAGCAGCAGGCCCTTCCTGCAGGCGGGCAGTCAGTCTGGGGTTTTGCCTTCCAGCCAGCCCTTCCCGCCACAGCATCTCGGAGTGGAGGATGCAGAGCATTGCCAGGGACTCTGATGAGAGCTCGGACGACGAGTTCTTCGATGCCCACGGTAGGTGGGCAGCTCCCTGCAGCAACTGGGGCCTTCCTGGGGGAGCTGGGGAAAAGTGGCTGTACCAGGAACTCCACTGGCTGTACCTGGACCAGGGGACAGCATGGGGCATGGGGCAAGAGGCATAGAGAAGGAGAGGATGTCACACAGGCTGGCCACCTCCAGGCTGGGTCTGTGCTCAGCCACCCAGAAGGCAGAATGTGCTGCAGGCCAGGCAGGTAGGGGTGCTTGCTTAAACCCCCTAAAAAAGACAGTCGTTTTGCCATATGTGAATTTATTTCCTTGAGAAGCAGAATTCACAGTGTTCTGAATTTCTGGGCTTACTTTCTTTTGTACATGTGTCGTTTGCCTGAGTAATATAACAAATGCCAATTAGATTAATATGCGTCTCGTGTAGGCACTTCAGAAAATGCAGTAAACAGAAATAGTTGAGCTGCGCACTTCCCACTGCTCCTGAAGTAAGGCCGGTCAGTGCGCCGCAGCCAGTGCCTCGCCTGTGCTGGGGATGCCAGGACAACTGGAGCCCGGGCGTGGCGCGTCAGCAGGGCCCTCTGCAGGCTGCCAGAGGGTGGGGCTCGGTACCACGTGCACACAGCGGGGCTGCTGCAGTGGAGTTCCCTTGTGCTGCCACTGTGCCTGGAGGGACAGAGCAGCCACTGAAGTGTGGCTGGCCAGCCACAAGGGGAAGGCACTTGGGGAGTCAGCCTCCAGGCACAAGGGCGGTGCCTGGTTTTCCCCGGGGCCAGGTGACCCCAGGCAGCCAATGACCTCTGCAGCAGGGACCTCGTGGAGGGTGGGAAGGGGTCTTTGGTGTCCCAGCCCTCCTAGCTGACTCCTCGCCCTGACCAGAGGAAAGTGTACATCTAGTGCAGAGAACACCGTAGCAGAGAAGAGACCGCAGAGCAGCAGAGGCCCGAGCAGCAGTGTCCTGGGACAGCAGGCCCAGGAGCCCACCCTGCTGGAGAGGAGGGCAAGCCCGAGATTGAGCCAGGCAGCTGCCTTGCCCCGGTGCACAATCCAGAAAAGCAGGAGTAGGGGTCTGGGACGGCACTCCTCCCTGAGTTGCACTTGGCAGATATTTAAAGATATCAGCTGCTGGGTGCGGTGGTGCACGTCTGTAATCCTAGCACTCTTGAGGCTGAGGCAGGAGGGTCCCAAGTTTGAGGCCACCCTGTGCAACTTAGTGAGACCCTGCCTCAAAATAAAAAGATATAAAATTGGCTAGGGCTGTAGCATAGTGGAAAGGCCTTGGGTTCAATCCCGAGTACTGCCAAAAAGTACATATGTATTATATTTATTACTATATATATGTATCAGCTGACAAATAAAAGCGCACTGACATACTGACCCTCGAAACATGACCCTACATGAATTAAGCCAGTAATCAAAGAGGATGTTTTTTTTTTTGTTTTTTTTTTTTGTCTTCCTGAGACAGGGTCTCACTATGTAGTTCAGGCTGGCCTTGAACTGTTTTGTAGCCCAGGCTGGCCTCAAACTCACAGTGATCCTCCTGCCTCAGCCTCCTGAGTGCTGGGGTTATAGGTGTGCATCACCACGTCCGGCAGATTTCTGTTCATAAGAAATACCCAAGACAGGCAAAGGCCCAGAGAGTGGAAGCATGTTGATGACCCATGGGTAGGGGCGAGGAGGTAGGGGTGAGGCCTGACTGCTCGTGGCTGTGGGGTTTCCATGTCCAGATCATGGAAACGTGGGCCTGGATGGTGTTGTGAATGTCCCCATTGCTACTTAAGACAGTTCAAATGGTGCATTTCACGTGATGTAAATGTTGCCACAATGTACAAAGGTCGTGGTACGCAGCATGCGTCCATCCTGTGAGGAAGGAGAGAGCAGGGGTCTGCAGGTCTGAGGAGCAGGGGCTCCAGCATGGCCCCTGGTTCTTGCTGAGGTCCCCTGTCCTCCCCAGAGGACCTGTCCGACTCAGAGGACATGTTCCCCAAGGACATCACCAAGTGGAGCTCCAACGACCTCATGGACAAAACGGAGAGCCCAGAGCCCGAGGACGCACAGGGTAAGCGGCCCCTGGGGGCTGCACAGGCCAGAGTCCCTCCGTCCGTGTTCCCGACCTCCCGGCACCCCCGCCATTCATGGCGTGGCCTCTGTGTTGCAGACAGTCTGTGCCGGCCGAGCGGCCCCGAGTTCAGGGCGGCCTCCAGTGTGGAGCAGCTGAGCATCATCGAGGTGGGTGCTGGCGCTGGGTGGGGGCTGTGCTGGGACGGGCAGGGCTCAGAGGGACAGCCCTGCGCTCTGAATGCAGAACTGTGCCCCGCAGCCTCACCCCGACGCTTGGCTAGGGTGACACCCAGAGAAGCTGGGGCCTCCTGTCCTTGCCGTGCTGCCAGGGAGGCGTCCCTGGGGAGAGAGAGGCAGGCAGCCCCCAGGGAAGGCCTCGGTCAAGCTCCACCTGTGGGGAAGTAAAATGAGACACTTGTAAATTCCAGACCAGAAATAAACTGCCCACCTTGCACCCAGCTGTGCTGTGGCTGAAGATAAGAGGAAGGAAGGGGCGGAAGCAGGAGCCGCCCGGGCAGAAGTGCTGTGGCCGTGGCCCGCGCGGCAGCCCTGTGGGGTCAGGCAGAGCTCAGTGCGTCCAGTAAAGCTGTCTTTGTGGGGCCTGTGTCCGCTTCGGGGTTCTTTGCCCGAGCTCTCACGCCCTCCTCTGCCCGTGGGTGGTCGGAGCTGTTTGCCCCTGCGCAGGAGCCCGGCCCGCCGTGCTGCTCCACACTGTGGTCCTCGCGCAGCTCTGTCCCAGGCTTCCTGAGGTGGAGATGGCATCTCTGCCGGGACTCGCGCCCCTCTGGGAGTCAGGGGTGGAGGGGGCACCCGTGCCTCTCGTCCCTCCCAGGTTTTCTGCTTTGAGTCTGAGGTTGAGGGGGCTCTTCTAGAAGGGTGACGGATGGGGTGAGAGTCCAGTGCGCAGAGGCGGGAGAAGGCAGATGGAGCCGCTCCCACCGCCGCACACAGCTCTGACTGCCCCCGGGTTGGGGCAGAGGGGCCTCGGGCTTGGCTCTCCCTCAGGCTGTGCATCTGGAACCCAGCACTGATTCCGGGGTGCCTCTGTTGCAATAGCCCCCAAACCAGACCTTTCCCTTATGAAAGGGGACAGCTTTATGGAGACGCTGAAGGGGAGAAGGTCTTGGCTCTCCAGAGCCGCCCACGACCCATGTGGACTCTGTTCCCCCTGGGGTTCAGGCAGGAGGGCTCCTGTCTCAGGCCAAGTGTGAGCAGGATTGTGTTTAGGGCCTGCGGGGGTCCCTACACCGTCTCTAGTGCTGGGCCCAGCCACGTAGGCGCATGAAGGGTTCTCTCGGCCCCGTGGCCCAGCACTGCTGTCTCCAGGTGACAGGAATCACTGGCCTCCACCCATTTCTTCCATAGCCCTTTGCCATGCTGTGTTGGAGAAGCCACTGTCCAATGAGGCTGATGGGGCTGCCTGACCGTTACCCCTGCCCAGGCCCTGGGCAGGAGGGAGCCCTGTGGCCTCCCCTTAGCTCCTTCCCGTCCCCCACCTACACCCCTAGGCATGATGTGGCTCAGGCACTCAGCAGCGACCCCCACGCACCAAGAAGGTGGGCAGGGCAGAGGGAGCCCCCCGTGCACAGGGCCACAGCCGGGCTGGCAGGAGAATGCTGAGCTGATAGGAGCTCTGGCTTCCAGTCCAGCTTGGTGCTGGCATACCATGTGACAGCAGGTCAGTCCCTGGGCCTGTGCGCGCCCTGCTGCCTCATCTCTGACAGTTACAGCTCTGGGCCCTGTGCGTGGTGTGCCATCCAGGTGCTCACCTTGACCTTGGCCTTACGAGCAGTGGACGGGGTGCTGCCCTCCCTGCTGGCAGGTGCTGGGGCCCTGGCTCTGCCTAGATGTCTCTGCTTTGGGGGACCTTGGTCTCAGAGATTCTGGGAATGGCAGGGTTCTGGGGGACAGCAGAGGAGGCTCCAGGTAGGCGGCAGGAGAGCTCACATATTGCTCTGACCCCAGCCACTCCCAAGTGACTCTGTGACTCTGAGCCTGCAGTGGCCCTGCTGCTTGGCCCAAGACAGACCCATTCTTGAGAAGCAGGCCCCAGAGACTGGGCCAGGCTGAGCCTGAGTCCACATGGAAGCTGCTGCCGGGCCCCTGAAAGAAGTGGAGTCCATGCTTTTGCAGGCTGAGACCCTCCCTCAAGTCCTCCGTTCCCTGGTCAGACCTCCCTGCTCCTCCAGGCTCTGAGAGAGAGGCAGAGGCACAGAGCCCGGGGTCCCCTGACTGGGTAACTCGCAGGGAGCAACTGGACCGAGACAGCCTCCCCGGGCAGCAGAGGCCTGGCAAAGAGCTGACACCCACTCCCCCGACGCAGGACGAGGCCAGCCAGCCGCTGGCTGCACCGCCCTCCACGATCCACGTGCTGCTGCTGGTGCTGCATGGAGGCACCATCCTGGACACAGGTGCCGGGGACCCCAGCTCCAAGCAGGGCGACGCCAATACCATCGCCAACGTATTCGACACCGTCATGCGCGTGCACTACCCCAGTGCCCTGGGCCACCTCGCCATCCGCCTGGTGCCCTGCCCGCCTGTTTGTGCCGACGCCTTTGCCCTCGTCTCCAAGTGAGTGGCGTTTGCCTGTGGGGAGGGGAGCGGCAGCACACTGGCCCCCTCCCTCCCTGCACACAGGCTTCTGTCCAGGTGTCCTGATGTGCCACCCAGCCCCTCTGCAGACAGGCTGAGCTTAGGCTCGGGAGGGCAAGCCACAGTTGGAGGGCATTTCCAGCTCAGTGGCAGTGGCCACTTTCTGCTCAGTGACCCCGGTCCCCTGCACCTGCCTAGGGCTTGGCCTGAGAGCGTTGCCATGAGCCCCTGGGGCAGGCGGCTCTGCCCTGCTGCCCAGGGCAAGGGAGGACTGAGCCAAGGCTCCTGCCCTCTCTGACCCAGCCCTTGCCCCCAGCCTCAGCCCCTACAGCCACGACGAGGGCTGTCTGTCCAGCAGTCAGGACCACATCCCCCTGGCTGCCCTGCCACTGCTGGCCACCTCCTCGCCCCAGTACCAGGAGGCAGTTGCCACAGTGATCCAGCGGGCCAACCTGGCTTATGGGGACTTCATCAAGTCCCAGGAAGGCATGCCCTTCAACGGACAGGTGAGGGGTAAGGCGGGGGAGGGCGCGCGAAGGCTCAGGGGCCGCTGTCCCCAGGCTGCAGCCCCTGAGTGGGCAGCCAGACACTCAGGCCCCTGGGCCCGCCTGCCTGCAGGTCTGCCTGATTGGGGACTGCGTCGGGGGCATCCTGGCATTCGATGCCTTATGCTACAGCAGCCAGCCGGTGTCTGAGAGCCAGAGCAGCAGCCGCCGGGGCAGCGTGGTCAGCGTGCAGGTACTGGGCAGGGACCTGACCCTCACTTGTCCCCAAGCCACCACAGAGGCCTGCGGTAGCCCTTGAGTCATGCAGCTGCCCTGCCTATTGGAGGGCACCTCAAGGGGCCCATGTTTGCCCCACAAGGACAGTGCTCAGCGAAGGCTCTGAGGCCGGCCAACTCAGGCTCCACGCTGCCAAGCTTGGTTTATTCTGTTACCTCAGCAAACATCTTCTGAACCCTGAGGCCTCCACGGCCCAGGAGCACAGCACCTCCAGGGCAGGACACGGCAGGGGTGGCAGGTGGGCTGAGGGGGCCCGGAAGCAGCCGGGAGAGTGTTCCTCAGAGTCCCTAACCCTAGGAGGAGGGCTGGGGGGCAGGGGTTGCCAGTGCTGGTACCTGAAGGTGGCAGGGCGGTGGCATGGGGCTGAGAGCCGCTGCAGCATGGCAGCGCCCAGGAGAGCATGTGGCTTCACGGGCCACGAAGTGGCTCTGGTCCTGGAGGTATGACCACTGGGCCCCGTCCACATCCCGGCAGGGAGGGAGGCCTGAGGTCTCTGCTGCAAAGTGGCCAGCAGGGAGGACATGGCCAAAGTCCAGAAGGCAGTAGGGTCAATAGCTTCCCCTTCAGCTTGGGCACGAAGCCCGTGGCAGGGCGGCAGCTTGGGGTTTGGAGTCAGGATGCAGACACAGCTCCCAGGATGCTGAAGCGGGGCTGGGGCCGGGCCACCCAGCACTGAACCTCCTTGGGCCATTCCAGGACGCCGAGCTGCTGTCCCCGGGCATCCTGGTAAACACGGCAGCTGGCTCCAGCTGTGGCAGCGGCAGCTGCAGCCTGGAGAGCAGTCGGCACCTGAGTCGCAGCAACATCGACATCCCCCGAAGCAACGGCACCGAGGACCCCAAGAGACAGCTGCCGCGCAAGAGGAGCGACTCGTCCACCTATGAGCTGGACACCATCCAGCAGCACCAGGCCTTCCTGTCCAGGTGGGGCTCGGGACAGGCCATGTGAGGGAGGCACCATGGGGGGGGTGGGACCACAGCTCAGACTGGGGACCAGATGGCTCCTCTGCCACCCACATGCCAGTCTTCAGCATGAGGTCTAGGGGTCTCTGCTGGGTGTTTTCTTTGGGGCTCCCCAGATTGTGACAAGCTGTGGTTTGTACCAAGTGTCACCTTGAGCCACAGAGAACAGGTTGTCCTGAGGATGGGCATGGAGTATGACCAGTTCAGGGGCAGAAGTGACCAGGGCAGCATGACACCAGTCAGGGCTGTCCCCAAGGTGTCAGGCTCCATGAGAGCACCTGTGGCCTGCTGTCACTAAAAACACTCTAGCCGGTGCTGGGAAGCTGCACCCTCAGAACAGCACAGAGTCAAATCTTCAAGGAGCCATCAGCCCTCTCCTGTCCCCCACAAGGCTAAGGAGGGCCCGGGTGGCCTTGCACATCCCTCCACAGCCTCCACGCCAGCGTGCTGAGGAATGAGCCCAGCTCCCGCCGCTCGAGCAGCTCCCCCGTGCTGGACGGCGCCGCGGCCCTGGGCAGGTTTGACTTTGAGATCGCCGACCTCTTCCTCTTCGGGTGCCCGCTGGGGCTGGTCCTGGCCTTGAGGAAAACAGTCATTCCCACCCTGGACGGTGAGAGCCCTTCAGGGTCCCTGGAGCCCCCTGCCACGAGGCCCAGGTCACATCCTGGCCCTCCAGCGCCCCTGCCCTCCCATTCCTGTGCCGGCGCTCCAGCACTGGCCCTGTCCCGTCACCTGCTGCTTCATTCCCTGCACCAGGGCCACAGAAGCACGGGGGCTGGGGCAGCAGAGGTGTCAGATGGGGACAGTACCCAGCTCCCAGGTGTGAAAGCCTCTCCCACAGGGGGAGTGTGGAACGGGTACCTGTGCGGATGCAGCATCTCAGCCACAGCACCCCTGCCCCGGATTAGCCAGTGCAGCTCAGAAAGCCATGACCCTCACAGCCGCCTTCACATCTCAGATTACGGAGGGGAAGCTGAGGCTCACAGAGGCTTATCTATGCCAGGAGCAGTGAGCAGCAGTGCTTGGTTAAAACTGCCAACCCTGGGGCTGGGGATTTAGCTCAGCGGCACAGCGCCTGCCTGGCAAGCACCAGGTTGTAAGTTCAATTCTTGGTACCAGAAAAACAAAAACAAAAACAAAACAAAACAAAACAAAAAAATAGTGCCAGCCCTGACCTCAGCGCCCCACGCCCCTTCCCTTCCACAAGCTGTGACTGCGGCCCACAGCCTCAGAGGGACCCCGTGACAGGGTGCCCTCCCACAGGGACGGCCAGCCACTGGGAAGGCAGAGCCAGCAGCCTTGCTCAGAACTAGATTCTTGCACATGTGCACAGAGGCCTAGGGACAGTCGCACAAGGGAACACCCTGCCCCTGTGCAAAAGGCACATGCTGGGATGAAAACTCCATTTTTTGTGTTCGGGGTGGAGGAACAAAGCCCTGAAAGTATGGCACATGCCATAATTCCAGCTTCTCAGGAGGCTGAGGCAGGAGGGCTGCAAGTTGGGGACCAGCCTGGGCTACCTGGATCCTGTCTCAAAATAGAAAATAAACAGAGCTGGGTATATTGCTCAGTGGTGGCTTGCTTGACTAGAATGCACAAGGTCCTGTGTTCCATTCCTAGCACAGCAAGAGAAAAGCAAATTTCTTTATAATAAAAATAAAGGGCAAGCTGGGCGTGGTGGCGCACGCCTGTAATCCCAGCACTCAGGAGGCTGAGGCAGGCGGATCATCATGAGTTCAAGACCCGCCTGGACTACAAAGTAAGCTCAAGGCCAGCCTGAACTGCATAGCGAGAACCTGTCTCAAAAAGACAAAAAATAAAGAAAGAAATAAAAAAATAAAGGGCAGGGCCGGGATATAGCTCAGCGCCATAGTGCCTGCCTGGCAAGCACAAAGCCAGGAGTTCAATTCCCAGTACCAAAAAAATAAAAAGTAAAAGGCAGCAACCCAAACCAATTCCAAATTGACAGACACACAGCAGAGACAAGAAGTGACCTCCCTCTGCAACTCGCCCCCTCCCCGCAGTTTTCCAGCTGCGGCCAGCCTGCCAGCAAGTCTACAACCTCTTCCACCCGGCGGACCCGTCTGCCTCACGCCTGGAGCCGCTGCTGGAGCGGCGCTTCCACGCCCTGCCGCCCTTCAGCATCCCCCGCTACCAGCGCTACCCGCTGGGGGACGGCTCCTCCACACTGCTGGGTGAGCGGCTCTGCTGTGGCCTAGGCGGGGGACAGCTCTGGAGGGGCAGGCCTGTCCTGCGCAGCCCATGACCTCCACCTGCAAAGGCCACACCCCAGGGGCCCCAGCGACAGACAGGGACAGATGTCTCTCCCTGCCAACATGCCCCTGGCTGAGGGCCCAAGAGAGGCCCTCACGATGTCAGGGGCATTGAGGGGGCTCCCCATGGCAGGTGGCTGGCCCACAGATGGGGTAGAGGTGGGAACGGGGATGGTGACATTTCCGGAGCTGCCCGTCCTCCAGCCCCCCGTGTCCCAACATCGTGTTGAGTCCTGGTCCTCGAGAAGCCCAAGTCTGTGTGGAGTGTTGTCCGACAGCCACGCGAGTGTCTGCTCTTGTCCTCTCTGTTCTTCCTGTCCCCTCCAGTGGAGACCATGCAGAGAAACCCTGAGCTGGTCCTGGAGGGTGGCCCCCCCGCCTCGCACCCTCCCGGGGACGGCTTCCTGGAGACCAGCATCCCCGTTCCCGCGCTCGCCGGGCAGGACGGGCCCCGCCAGAGCCCGGGCTGTGCTGAGTGTGTGTACCCACCCCCTCGTGGTGACGTCTGCTTGGCTGTGGCCCCTGGTCCCCGTGTCTGCTCCCCTTGCACCCTCTCAGGCCCCTGGGAGTTGGGACTTTGGAGGCAAGGACAGAGCACGGCCAGGAAGGCCCAGGAAGGGGCAGTTGTGCCTCCTGTGCACACTGAGGCCGGAGGCTGGGCACCCAGTGCAGCCCGGAGACAGCAGAGGTTGTCCCAGGTCACACGGCATGTTAGCGAGGGTCCAAAGTGCTGCCCTTCCTTCGAGGCTCGCAGGAACAGAGAGGAGATAGGGTGACACCTCACCAGCTGCACCCCACTCCCCCAGGAGGACCAGGACTTGGGGGTCTCGGGTCCCACTCCTTCCCTCCCTGAGGATGCCCAGGCCCCCTTACACCCCAGCCCCACGCTGCTTGCCCTTCCGCCTGGGCTGTCCTCCCTTCCCGTCCTACCCTCAGCACATCTTTGTCCCCAGACTCACTGTGTGGCTTATCATAGCCACGGGTGACCGACGCCGGGAGCTCCTCAGTCCTCAGCATGTGGAGGGCGTCCTGGGAGCCACCTGAGGCCCCACTCTCGTTGCCCTCATACCCCGTGGGGGTCAGGTGGCTGGGGAAGCCCACAGGCCCCCATGCTGCTGGGGCTTCCAGAGAATGGCTAGGAGCCCTGCATGGGGCAGGAAGGTGCCTCGCCTCCCACTGTGTCTGTCTGTCTGTCCTCTCCTGCCGCAGCTCCAGGCCCTTCAGTCTCTCGGCCCTGAGCCACAGGCCTTGGCACAGTCAAGCCCCTGCCCACCCCAGCCTTGGCACATGCTGGATCTGGCATGCTGGCCTGCCCCCCTACTGAGGGAGAGGGGACAGGCCGGGCCTCCCTTAACCAGCCCGTGTCCCTGTGCACCTGCAGCGGACGCGCTCCAGACCCACGGTTCGGTCTTCCAAGAGCACACGGCCCCCTCCTCACCCGGCACGGCCCCTGCCAGCCGAGGCTTCCGCAGAGCCAGCGAGATCAGCATCGCCAGCCAAGTGTCAGGCATGGCCGAGAACTACACCGCGTCCAGCATTGCCCAGAGTGAGTGCAGCCTCCGCGCTCCTCCCGCACTGTCACCGTGGTCTGCCCCAGGGGACAGGCGGCCTTGTCCAGAGGCTTCCTGAGTGGCCACCACGGGGGTGGCTGTGCTGGTGGCACCATCTGGTAAAAGTAGGTGCTGCTGAGCGCCCTGCAGCACCAGGACAGCCTCAGAGGGCACCAGGGGCTGTATATGGCTCAGGGTCACTGTCTTGCCGGAGCCTCTGGAAAGAAGCAGTGTCAGAGAGGCCCGGTCACCCTCGCGGGTCCCCTGGCAGCCAGAAGCAGAGCCTGCAGGCTGGGCCTCATGGGTGCGCAGCCCTCCCTGGCCTGAGGGAGGCAGGGCAGTGTGCCTGCCTGGGCGGAGCTGAGCCACACCCCTGTTATCGCTCCTCAGAGGCCCCCTCGATGCTCAGCCACACCCCCAGTGTCAGGCGCCTGTCCCTGCTTGCCCTGCCCCCCCCAGCCCCCAGCAGCCCTGGCCCCCGCCCCCGGGCCAGGCAGGCGAGCCCCAGCTTGGAAAGGGTGCCCTGCCTCCCTGGCCTGGACATCAGAGAAGGTACCTGCCGTGGCGCATGCCCTCTCTAACTCGGGGTCACTTGCATTGCCAAGCATGTCTCACTGTCACGGCCCTGCACACAACGCTAAGGCCTAAGGGAGCTAGAGGCGGGGCAGGGAGGGTGCAGCCTGCGCAGGCAGACTGGGGCCCTCCTCACGCAGGCCATAGGCAGAACGTGGGAGCCAGGGCCCGTAAGACAGGCCCGTGTGCTCCCCGAGTACAGTCCTGGCAGCTGCTGGCGGTCAGTGCCCCAGGAGGAAAACAGCTAATGTGGCTGGTCAGGCCTGAGGGCCCGGGTGGCCCTCGGGGGTCCCTGCCCAGCCCAGCACGGTTACAGCCTGCTCCCTGCAGTCGCCGCCAAGTGGTGGGGCCAGAAGCGGATGGACTATGCGCTGTACTGCCCCGACGCCCTCACGGCCTTTCCCACCGTGGCGCTGCCCCACCTCTTCCACGCCAGCTACTGGGAGTCAACGGACGTGGTCTCCTTCCTTCTGAGACAGGTACCTGCCCTCCAGAGGGCCCTGAGGGACACTGGGGCAATGGGACCAAGGGGCAAGCAGGGCACAGGCACCTTGAGGGGGAACATGTGGGATGCTGAAGGCCATGGGGACAGGACGGATGCACTGGCAGTCACTGGACAGATGGGAACCTGGACCGCAGTGGGTTAAATGGTGTCCCCAGGCCTCACAGGTGCCCACTGCTGGCCCCTCAGGCCAGTGGGCTTGCCCAGAGCAGGCAGAGAGCAGGCAGCGGGCTGGCAGCTGCCCCATGGCCCGCCTCTGTCCCCAGGTCATGAGGCATGACAGCGCCAGCATCCTGGACCTGGACGGCAAGGAGGTGTCGGTGTTCACCCCCTCGCAGCCCAGGGAAAAGTGGCAGCGCAAGAGGACGCACGTGAAGCTGCGGGTGAGGGGTCCTGTAGGCTGGTGCCGGGCGTCCTCCTTAGTCCCCGCAGAAAGTCCCGCATTGCAGAGGAGGAAACAGAGTCTGGAGAAGCTATGATTTGACTCAGAGCCCTGTGAGATGTCCTTCCCCAAGGCCAGGCAGCCGGTGGCCGGGCTGGGCAGGAACACGGCTGCCCAGTTCTGAGTCCATGCGCACCCCAGCCCGCTCTGACCGGACCCCTCTCCCTGTCCCCAGAACGTGACGGCCAACCACCGGATCAATGACGCAGTTGCCAACGAGGACGGCCCGCAGGTTGTGACCGGCCGGTTCATGTACGGACCCTTAGACATGGTCACCCTGACTGGAGAGAAGGTGAGGACTCAGGGCATCAGGCACAAGGAGCGAGGGCCCCGGGCGTAGCCAGTGTGTGACCAGCTCGCCCGGGCCCCAGGTGGACGTGCACATCATGGTGCAGCCGCCCTCAGGAGAGTGGCTCTACCTGGACACACTGGTGACCAACAGCAGTGGGCGCGTCTCCTACACCATCCCTGAGTCACACCGCCTGGGGGTGGGCGTCTACCCCATCAAGATGGTGGTCAGGTACGCACCTCCTCGGGGTGGGCGAGGCCAGTCCCCAGGGGCAGGAGGAGGGGCTCTGGTTGGCACTGACGAGCTGTCCCTGCCGGCCAGGGGAGACCACACGTTTGCCGACAGCTACATCACTGTGCTGCCCAAGGGCACGGAGTTCGTGGTCTTCAGCATTGACGGCTCTTTTGCCGCCAGCGTGTCCATCATGGGCAGCGACCCCAAGGTGCGGGCCGGGGCAGTGGACGTGGTGCGGTGAGTGACTGCGGGGCACAGTGCAACCAATCGCCGCAAGATGGGCGGGCTGCATGGCAGGAGGCACCGGCAGGCTGGCTGGGGGGACCTAGCACTGCCAGGAGGGGGACACTGGGCCCCTGCGCCTGAAGGACATAGGTCTGAGCCTGGCACCACCACTGGTCACCACATGACGCTGGCAGTCTCCCAGCTCCAGGAGCTGCTAACGGCAGCCCTCTGCAGGGGCACCTGGGAGGATGACCCTGCAGATGCAGGCGGGCAAGTGCCCTGTGAGCATCTGCCATCGCTGTCATCCTTGTCCCCCTTGTCATTTGAGCCTGATTAAAGGTGGGCTTTTCTGAGGCTGGGCGGGAGAAGGGGGTTAGGGAGGGGCAGCTGTGCGACACCTCCCTCGCCCTCAGGCACTGGCAGGACCTGGGCTACCTCATCATCTACGTGACGGGCCGGCCTGACATGCAGAAGCAGCGGGTGGTGGCGTGGCTGGCCCAGCACAACTTCCCTCATGGAGTGGTGTCTTTCTGCGATGGTCTGGTGCACGACCCGCTGCGGCACAAGGCCAACTTCCTGAAGCTGCTCATCTCCGAGGTGGGGCGGAGTTGCGTGGCCTGGGCCGAGCGGGAGGGGAGGGGCGGGGCGGGGAAGAGGCCAACCTCGCCCATCTCACCCCCAGCTGCACCTGCGCGTTCACGCAGCCTACGGCTCCACGAAGGATGTGGCAGTGTACAGCGCCATCAGCCTGTCCCCCATGCAGATCTACATAGTGGGCCGGCCTACCAAGAAGCTGCAGCAGCAGTGCCAGGTGAGAGGGCGCAGCCCGGGGCAGCAGCAGGCCGCTCTGGGCGCTCCCGGCCCCTGACCTCCAGTCCCTCGCTGCCTCTGCAGTTCATCACAGACGGCTACGCGGCCCACCTAGCCCAGCTCAAGTACAACCACCGGGCGCGGCCAGCCCGCAACACAGCCACCCGCATGGCACTGCGCAAGGGCAGCTTCGGCCTCCCCAGCCAGGGTGACTTCCTGCGCTCACGGAACCACCTGCTCCGCACCATCTCAGCCCAGCCCAGCGGGCCCGGCCACCGGCACGAGCGGACACAGAGCCAGGTGGAGGGTGAGCAGCGGGGTCAGCGCAGCATGAGCGTGGCAGCCAGCTGCTGGGGCCGTGCCATAAGCGGCCGGCTTGAGCCGGGAGCAGCCGCGGGCCCCAAGTAGGGCCTATGAGTGGGCGCTGTGGTCTCCATGGTGCTAGGCCAGGGCACCACCCCATCAGAAGGCCCGGCCTGAGCACACGTAGGCGGCTGGGGGTGAGCTTTGATAGCCTGGGAAACTGTCCCAGGGCCCCTCCGAAGACACGGGCATGCCAGCCACTGCTTCTAGCCCTGCCCCACCCCTAGGGCCTGAGGGCTCCGGCTTGACGTGGAACCTGGCAGGACAGCAGCGTGGAGTGGCAGAGACCAGGGCGCCCCACCTGGCCCGGCTGGGAGGCCCTGGACAGTGCGCCCTGCATTGCTCCCCAGCCGCCTGGTGCCAGGTGTGGGCCTCGGCCCGGCCTGCCCCTCCCGCCCCAGCCCACACCCCCTCATCTGGTAGCAGCTCCAACAGGGGTCCGGCCTGCTTCTTGTTGACTCAAGTTTCTCAACTGTTCAACCTCACTGGTTTTGCACTGATTTTTGAGAGTGGAGACCCATTTCCATCTCCTGTGGCTACGGACTCAGTGACATGCATGAAATTCAATATTGCTGACCCAGGACCTCTTACCACACAGAAGGTTCCAGTGTGGCAAACCCTCATCCAAGCAGGAGAGAAAGGCCATATTTTAATTTCTGCTGCCCCGCCTGGCCTGCCAGCACACGGCAGGCCCAGGCCCCTGCCCACCCATCCATCTGCCCCACCTGGAGCCCAATCCAGCCGCAGGCCTGGTGTCATCTTTGGCCCCGGGGGAGCACAGCCCAGGCGTGAGGAGCACCCGCTCCCAAGCACCCTGGGGCTTGGGGCCCGGACAGGCCTGGACGCCTCTTCTGCTCCTCACCTGCCATCGGCCAAGGCCCGTGCCATGGCCACCTGCCCGCCTGCCCGCGTTTCTACGCCTTTCTACTTCTCAATCTGATTTCTACAAGGTTTTTTTAACAGAGCAATCCTCGGCTGCTTCCTTTTCGTAACTCTTTCAGTACCAAGCGCAGCCCCTCCACATTTTAAACACCCAGCACTGTGACGGAGTCCAGCCTGGTTCTGGGTCCCATGGGCCCTGCCCCAGCCCACTTGGCGGGGTGTGGTCTCCCTGCCTCACCTGACCCCTGCCAGTTCCACTGAATTTCTACTGCGGGATGGGGTGCACTTACATTTTTTTAATGCCAATTCCGTTCAATGCGAATCTAAGAAGCCACAGCTCGCTTCATTAGCTTAAGGGCAGGCGGCCTCGACTCCCGTCCTCACCTGGACAAGGACGTACTGTCCCGCACGCCAGGTCTGAGCGCTGGCCTGGCCCTGGCCAGCTGTCTGGCGACTGGGCTCCGTCCCTGAGAAGCTGCCAATCGGGATGTGGCCGAGGGGCTGCGTGGGCTGGCAGGGCAACGCACAGGCCGATGTTAACTCTTCCCATGTGTAGATGTGTACAGTGAAAGGCTCATGTAAACGTTCTGCAGAAGTGGGCCTATACAGAGGGAAAGCTATTTATTTTGTGCACAGAAAAATGTCTGGAGGGCGGAACCTTCAGGGTTTATTCATATTTAAGATGTAGCTTTTTGTTGTTGTTTCAGGCATTATGTATAAAGCAATGATTATTTTATGGACCAAGTTCCCTGGTAACTGTTGCAGTGAAAGTGCAATATCTGCCCCCCTGCCCCCCAGCAGGAAGTGGCTGGTCCGACAATCACAGCCCTGGCCAGGGGCCCCTGTAGCCAGTGCCACCTCCTCTACTGGCCCCACTTTGCCCCGTCTTGCCTCCACCTTGGTGACCAGCCATCTGGAGAAGCATCTGGAAACCTCGGCAGGCCCGCAATAAAGGCTGGAGGCCTGGCCTTGGGAGGCCAGTGGGCGGCGGGCCAGCCTCTCCCTGGGGGCAGCCCCCGTGGCTCCTCCTCCCCCACCTGCCCAGCTGCCAGCCATGCCAAGGACAACAGCAATAGTCCCCTGGGCCTCTCCCAGGGCCCTCAGCCATAGATGGTGAGACGGCAGCCTCCCCTCCAAGTCTCTTCTCTGTCCGGGTCTGCTTTCTGCCTCCCGTAAGATTCTTTTTGGCACATTCTCCTCCTGAGGAAGCGCGAGTTTCCAGAAACTAAGAAGGAGGGTGAAGTCCTTTAAAAATACCAAAAATGTTTACAGCGTTGGGTGCTGAGCTGCAGGGCTCAGGCCTGACCAGTCGTAACCAAAGGGTGAGGCAGGCCTTGCCGACTGCCACCCCCACCCGGGCCTGTTAGGATAGAAGCCTTAGTCCCTCCCGCCCGCACCCCTGCCCCCGACTGAGTCTCAGCCTGCCCGGCCCTGAGCACCTGCCTTCTCTGATTTCTAAAGTGGGATTCAACAGAGACCCCGCCCCACCGGCTCTGTCCGAGCTGCCCCATCGCAATCTTCACATCTCGGCCTCTCCCATCTGTCCTCGTGCTGTCTGTCTCTGGGCCACATGTGAGCAGTGTCCTGACTGTCCCTCCCCACATGCTGTCCCTGCGTCATCGGCCTGAGTGTGCTCTGTATTCAGCGTCGCTGTCTGTTACACCGATTAAAGAAGCAGGAAGGCTTCCTTCTGGTCTCTTTATTGCGGGGCACCTATGGGCGGGGCGTCGCTCCCAGTCACCGAGGCGCTGCGCCATGAGGCTGGGACGGAGGTGGCTCTGCCGGCCTCTCCACTTTACAGGGGACACAGCCAGTAAGCAGAAGCCCCAGTGCCTGGCCCAGGTTCCTGTCTGCATGACCTGTGCCACCTTCAGGGCTGAGGCTGGGTCTGGGCTGGCAGGTGGCAGGTGGCAGGGGTAGGGTTGGCCTTGCTCACTGTCCCAGCAGACACTGGCTTCCCCCTGAGCCTCGAGCCTGCCTCTCCCCAAAGGTGAGGGCGCCCCTCGACCCTTGGCACAAACACAGCAACAAAGCGGAGGGAGTCGGTCTGTAGCCAAACAGTGTTTAATACCGGGCTGGGCACTCTTCCAGATGTGGGCACCGAGGAGGCCAGGGACCCGGCTGCGGCCATCGGCTCACGGCGTCTGCCCAAGGCCATCTGCAGACCGCAGCCGGGGGCCTCAGGGAAGCAGCCCGGCTCGCACCTGGAAGGCCAGGCCGTCTCCGCGGGTGGCTTGCTGACAAAAGAAACACGGAGGCCAGGGATCAAGAACAGAGCCAAGGGCGTCCGCGGGCAAAGGGGCAACACGAACCTTATTGATCTCTCTGTGGCGTTCTTTCGTTACGATTTCCTCCAGGACCTCTCCGTCTCCCTTAATGAGCCTGTGGACAGAGGGTCCCTTCAGCGGGGAGCCGCCCATGCCAGGGCCCCCACACAGGCCCTCGGAGAGGAGGGAGCCTGGGCGCTCTCTGCACACCCCAGCCTCGGGACAGGGACTCGGCCAGGCGAACGGCAGCACGCGAGCCCCCACGAGGCCTTTGCAGCCCCGACGGCTGCACACGCCAGGCACAGGGGGTGAGCAGCGCGCGGTCACAACCGCTGCCCCATGCTTGGCCTCTTTGGAGCAGCTGCGCCCTCCACTCCCCCCGGTGCTGGTCCGGGAGCAGCAGAGGCACTGGGTGGGCCGGGCGTGCCGAGCGCGCCCCACCTGGTGCGCCCAGTCTCGGGGTCCACCACCCTGCGGATGACGCTCTGCCGGGCGTCCCACTCCTCCTTGGTCATGGGCTTCATGGCCTGGACGCGGGACTTCTGCTCGTCCGTCAGCGCTGCAAGGGAAGGTGCAGGCGGTGCGGCGGCCGGGCCGAGGCGCTCCTCCCGCACACCCCGGCCGGCCGGTACCTGCGCCCGCGGCCTGCTCCGCCGCCCTGCGCCACTGCTCCAGCGAGGGCCCGGGCGGCGCCTCCGCCTCCTCCCCGCCCTTCTTCTTCACCTTCTTCTTCCTCCTCTTCTTCCTCCTCCTCCTCCTGTCCTTGTGCTTCCCCCGCTTCTTGCGGCCATCTCCGGAGGAGGGCGAGGGCGAGGACGAGGACGAGGAGGAGCTGGAGGAGCTGGAAGAAGAGGAGCGGGAGCTGGACCGCGGTCTCCTCCGGGCCTTGCGCTTGCTCCTCTCGGCGCAGCGGGAAGGCGAGGCTGGAAGGCCGAGGGCAGCAGGTGGACGTCCGCCCCTCCGGCCCCGTCCCGCCGGGCCGCGCCCTCCGC